ATATTATCAGAAAATGGAACATATCTCTTGTTGCAATGTTGATAAATAAGCTTCATGTTTATTAATAATTAAACATGGAATAGCACAAAATTAATATCTTGCTATTTAACCATTTAATAAAAAGGAAAAAAAAAACATCATTGAAATGATCATATTCGTCAAATGAAATGTATTTTAAAGAAAATTTGAAAATCATCAGATAATTAATAATAAATCAAAAAACAAAATAGTAATTTCTGACAGAGAGAATTTATATTGAATGATGTATTGTTCAAAATTATTCTTTTGTCAAAAAGAAAAAAAATATATATTAAGTAACAATATTAGATTTCCTTTGATAAATTGAATCAATCAACATTAGTTTGCAGAATCATTATGAACTTGATGATAGGACTTGGTCATTTGAAGAAATATTTGATTCTGTATGTATGTGTAGCTCAATTATATATATCATTGTCATTATATTGATGCTAAAGCTTTCGAACCTACCAGTTTATCTTCAGCATTGATCTTTACAGTAACTGCAAAAAGTCTCACAAACGGATAAAGAGTATATAAACTCCAATCCTTTTATCTGATATTTTGACTACGAATAGAGTGTGGTAAACTTTGATCGCAAGCAACAAACCCAGGTCGATAGGTCTTAATGCCAAGGATATACGAAGCAAAAACATGTTTTTCCGCTATTTAAATGGGTTAATCTACATTCTCTTATTAACAAATAAAGGTTTGCATGTCTATATTGTACCACAGATAGAGTACTTCAATCCTCTGTAGACTTAAAGCGACAGAAAACCTTCATTGTCTATGGTTATCTTATCATGGACCTATTCTTCATGGATGACTACGATCGTAAAATTTTCAAGAAAAACTTGATTAGAGTAGCGTACTCACTGATGCAAATTTCAAGGCAAATGTTTAAAATTAGCCGGAGATATAAGTCACGTTTCGATAATTTCCATCAACTCTCATGTAAGGATACTCTACAAATACTTCATCAATTAGCCAAACTAAAACTGCTTGACATGGAAGTTTCGTTATTGATAGAGGTCGCACTGAACTATCGGAATCAGGAATCTAGTGTCATGACGTTTGATTTATATATTGTGATATTCTCGTTTGAAGAAAAAAAAATCTATATTGACCTTGTAGCCTCTCCATATAAAGTTCAATCAAGTCCTGATTAGTTAGATCTTGTGATCAGAGTTCAACATGCTCTATAATTGGTTTGTCAATTGGTTATCTATGCTGCTATCATTTAAAAATCGGTACTAAAGATGAATCGATAGGTTCAAACCTTTACTATCATTATTATGACAATAACATTTACAATTTACTTGCACATACACACAAAATCAAACAATTCTTCATGCTTCAGTTTGAGTTCTTTCATTGTATATACTATTCTTATTTTCATGTGTTTCATATTTTGAACATTTTAGTGAAAATGTAGTGAAATATTCTTTTTTATTAATAATTATTTAAAAAAAAAACCTTCTTTGTAATGTAATGGATGACAATTCTATAATATATTTTTTTTTGATACATGCTTTTTTGGGTGATTGCTATGTTTTTCATTGAAAGATGAACATGTCAAGATGAATGAAAAAGAAAAGACTACATTCATTCGATATCTTAAAGATTTTTGCACTTTTTGGTCAGAAAAAAAAAAATTTTCTATATGTTATTCTCCTTTTTGTATTTATGTATTTGCATCTTCTTTAATAAAATGATTGTATAATATTTAATACTACCATTTATCTTTGTCTATAAATGTAAGAACATAACGTTAAAGTCAACTGTTTCTTTTTTGATAGGCTACTATCGATGAAATGCTTTGTCGAAGAAAATTTTCCGACTAACACAACGTGCTTACTTTTCTATTGAATGTCATAAATTATTAGAGATTAGTGACGCAATCAAAGGATCATAGATGATAAGGCAATATCTAATAATCTTAGAAATAATCCATGCAATATAATGCTAATGATGGTAATTATTACGTTTTTTCTTTGTTTCAGTGATAGGACAGCACCCGATCTAGTATATTCTTGATTACGCCACTACTATAGATAGTATCTTCATCAAAAGTAATTCTATTATCAGTTTCATCATATTTAATAGCCAACTGACAATTTCAAGTGTCATAATGATATTTGATCAAAGTAGTTCTATTGATTAGAAATGATCAATAGATTCTGATTTTTGAATTTTTGTTTTAATATTGATCTGTTTTATTAGTTATTTTACTTTCGTTCAATAATATCTAATTGAACAATTTGCATTTTTATTACATTTAAAGGATGATTACTATTGATCATCTATTCAATATAAACAGAATTACAACATGATCAACTAAATATAATTTTCTCTTGATGATCCGATAAAATGAACACTTAAAAAACGATTGTTAGTAAAATATTCAAGTATTAATTACATAGAAAATATAAAGCAATTCAATAATGCTTCTACTTCTCTAATTACACTATTATTGATCTTTGAAGTGTCATTGAATAGCAAGAGAAGGTTGAGAGTTGTCATGAACAAATTCTCTTCTCGAAGAATAAATAAATCATTAAAGAAATATGTTAAATAATTAAAGAAAGAAATTGAATATTCAAAAAAACAAATGATCACTAAAATTATTTCAAACTTTAATTAATATTACAACTTAAATTAAGTTTCTACTGGATTAAATCAAATTAAAAGGAAACCTAAAAAAATATGTTTATTTGTCAAGAACAGCATATTATCTAGTGTATATATATACGTGTACTTTCATTGACACTTGTATGTCGATGACAGATCACTTGCGCAATCTTCAATGACATATGTCTATAGATGAGATGCCAATCATCGTCTTTTTTTTTTCTTGCATTTGCCTATAAATGGAAACCATATGATAGAAGGTCACATAGCATTTTTATTGCTTATTGCAACCGTTTTTGATTAGACATTTTTATTTTTTCTATTTATGATATTTTGTATGTCTATTCTTATCGTCATTGATAAGAGAAGAAGAAAAGTGAATGAACACATAAGTTTCTTATTGACACATAGACGAAACGATTTTGTTAGACATTATGATTGATTTATACATGTAGGCAATATTGACAAAAAATTTTTGATTATTACCTGGTGTGATATTAAGAGATTCTCGTTCATCAAATTATCTAATAGCAAGTAGAAGATAAAACAATAGAGATTAAATGAGTATCAGACTTGTACACTTGAACATTTTCCATTCTTTTTCTTTTTTTTTGTTGTGTTTATTATTTTTATTTTCACTAGCTCGTATACTTATGAATACAATCTTGCTTGTACGATAATATATATGTATATATGTATATTCTTATTACGCGCATGATTGATTCGTTTACCACACATTGTAATAAATAGAAAAAAGAAAAAACGAGATATAAAGATGAGACAAACCGAAACCTATTAGAACACATATCTTACAATCACTATTGTAGATATCTATACATCACATCTAGTTTGTACTTTAATTAACTTAACATCTGTCACACAATTTATTGGCATGCAGGTATTGATAATGTCTTTTTTTTTTTTGTAACTACTAACATTATTGATTAGTACTAGGGAAAAGATTCAACAATAGGCAAGTAGTTGTTATATATTGTCGTGCAACAAAATGTCATGTCAATAGACAATATGTATATTGGGATGAACAAATTGAGATCTCATTAACCATTCTCAATACATGAGAACGAATGAGATTTATCGTTCATATTGTTTGTCGGTCTATTTTACACGTTGAAAAATCTTTTCTTATCGAAGCGTCTTTTTCTTTTTTTAAATTACTTCATATTATCTAATCATTTGGATCAATTAACACAAAAATACCCATCTTATCTGGAACATCTCAAGGTTACTATTTCTAACGTTTATTTTCTTATAGAAAAAAAAAAAAAAAAGAGAAATCTTGTTCGACATGAATATATATGTCTGTATTGTTTAGTTTGATGTGACATTGATCGAAAAAAAATTTATTTTTCTTTTTTCTTTTTTTTTTTTGATCATTTACTTGGTTTCTTTCTGTCTGAAAAGTAAGATCAAGCATTAAATATAACATAATTTGTTGATCGAGACACAATACATTGCATTTAATAGACATATACACCTACACTTGTCGTTTTTATACCAATTGAATTTAGATTGAAGGACTAATATTATAACATTGACATATATAGGTAGCTAATGTGTGCTCTCGGTCGTTTTCTTTTCTTGTACACTTTACTATACATGTCCATTGTACAGTACATCACTCATTCGACTAATCCTTTTCTTTCTTTCTTTTTTTTTCATGAGATATTGCTGCCGAATAAGTTCTTCTTTATTTTTGTTTACATATCATAAAGTTTAAAAAAAAGAAAGTCTATGAACATCTCCCAAGTTTTTATAGTTTATAATCTTAGCAAATAGTTTTGATTGTAATTATAGTCTTTATATGAATACACAAAAAACGTTCGTCACCAATTCAACTTGATTAGGCAAGAAGACTTTCGCCTTGTATACATACATGTATGTTTATTTTGTATGTCCCTTTCTCTCTCTCTCTCTCTCTCTCATTTTCTCTTGTCGTACGGTTGTATATTGTCTTTCAATTTGTGGCTCTTAGCCTCTTTTTCTTTTTGTTCTTCATTTTACTATTCCTTTTTTCCTTCTACTATTGTATTATTGTATAGAAGTAAGATATTCACAGGCAAAGACCAACATTCAATGTTAGTACCGTTATTTAAGCGGATAATTCCTTAACTAAATTGAATATTTGAACCGTAGAATGATGTGATGCTTTCAAATTTTCTCCTTCAGAGGAAGTATGAGGATATTACATATATCCTCTTTTTCTTTTCTTTTTTTTAATGTTCCCAATATACTGATGACTTTAAATAATCGTACAGTCAACTAGAAACCATTTTTTTTTCCTTGATTTATTCTTTCTCTTCACCATTTATATATAGATTTCTATAGTTCATATGTCACCAGCATCAGACATCTATGATCGTTTGGCGAATAATGTACATCAAAAACCAAAACAAATTATAAGAAGTAATTCTAATCAGTTCTATATATCAAATTCAAAATCTAATTGTGAACATTTATATGTGTTAACAAAACGAAAATGTATTCCATTTAATGAACATGAACAATCAAAACGTCGACATACAATTATAAATCAATCTGTTCCAGAAACAATTATACATTGTACAGTAAGTAATCAAGCATATGAAAAATCAATGATAGGAAAATCTTTAATAAATCAACAAACAAATTCTAAATCTTATCGAATACCAAAAACATTATCAAATTCAGAAATAAAATCAATGGATTTTCGTCCATTAATTATTAATGGACGTCGAAAATTAGGTGGAATCCCATCATCAACATCAATGATTATTGTTAAAAAAAAATCATCATCTCCTATGAATAATACTTCATTTATTCAGGTATATCTATATTTTTGTATCTAAATATGAATGAAATATATCGATTTTATTTTATTCTTTTTATAGAAACCATTAACTCGTTCGATTCCAGTTGATATTATAAATAGCGATATGGCAATGGTTATTAGTTCTACGATACCATCATCATTATCATATTCTTCTTCATATTCTTCTTCGTCTTCAGCTTCTGCATCTTCAGCAAATGTCGGAACCGTTTTTTTACCAATCCAAGTAACAAAGAGTCAAAACAACAACGACAATAACAACAATGATAATATTAAATATAGTAACATTACTACAATAAAAGATGATCAAAGAGGTTATCGTTATGTTCAAAAACAAAATGAACAACAAAAAACATTTTCATATTTAAAAATAGAAAATCAAATTCTATTGGTAGGTTAAGCAAAAATTCATTAGTTTTAATCGACATTTCTATTTTCTACAAGATATCAATTGACTAACGTAAGCATTATATCTTGGGCAGTTCAGGGACACATGCGGTGCTCTTTCTTTCTTCGACTATTTTATGGATGATAGCAAGACAGCAAAACGATAATGGATAATGATGATAGTGGCTCGCTGTTATTTCTATTGCCATTTTTTGCTTCTTTTTTCTTCCGATAGTTATTGCTACCATATTCTTTTGGACGCGCACACGCGTCTGATCATTAGAACAATCTGTACGTACGTATACGTGGGATGCCAATATCGTTTTCCCTTAGTTCTTTCTTTCTTTCTTTCTTTTTTTCTTTTTTTCTCTGTCTTCTTTTTTCCTATCGACACTAAGTTATTTGTCGTGTGAAAATAAAAGAAGAAAGATGGACGAGCAAGATTTTTTTTTTTTTTCTTAGCCCCCCCCTTTCTATTTCTTATGTATGAAATAGACTACTATACAATGTGCATGATATACATTCTAACAACTAGTTCAAGGTTATAATTGATTTTTCTTTTCTTTTTTTATTTTTGAAGAATGTTGATGTTGATGAATCAACAAAAATTCCTTCTTCATCTTCAATTGTTGGAGAAGGTAACAATTATAAATCAAATTCTATGATGGATTCAAATGTTCTTCGTTTAATTCGTCGTTATGATCCAGTAAGTTCAAATGTTCCTAATATTCAAGCACGTCGTTCGCTTGATAACACACGAAACTTATGGAATACTACAATTGCTTCAAAAACGCCTGATTCTTCTCCATTTTTATCAAGTCGATCATTAACGACAACACAAGAAGAAGAAATTCCTATAAAACAATCATTTATACCACGTCTTCAACGTCAAGAATCAATAAATGAACCTGAATCATCACCATTAACATCAATAAATGATAATAATAATAATAATAATTCATTACGACCAATACTTAAATATAATAAAATAAAATCACGTACAGAATTTATTGTTCAACCTCAACAAACTGAACCATTAACAATTGAAATTGAACCACATATACCATCAATAAATGAAAATATAAATACAAATTATCAACCATTAATTACAATTGGTACAAAACGTGTATGTTCAGCATTAAGTAAATCTGAATGGGATTTACGTTTACAACAAGACCAAATTCCTAATCGTTCATCATCACCATCATCAATGGTTAATAATCAACAACAACAAGAAAAAGAATTTCATCGAACAACAACACTTGGTCGAAGTAAAAGTACAATTGGAATTAATAATGAACAAAATGATAATATTGATGAATTTGATGAAAATTCAGCACCAATTATTAATAGTGGTTCAGGTGTACAAAAATTAAAACAATTATTTGTTGCAAAATCATCACTTGATTTAACTAATAATTCACCTACAAATGATCCTCAACGACATGATTCAAATGATTCAAATTTTAATAATAAAACTAATATACCATCATCATCTATTAAACCATCTCCAATATTAAATTCAATTGAATCTCAACAACAACAACAACAACAAATAATAAATAAACCAACAACAATTGTTCAAGATATTACACCAATACCACCATTTATTAATAAAAAACCTATACTTAAAAGTCAAAAAACAATTGATAGGTACGCAATTTAATAATCTATAAATTCCATTGATAAATATAAACAATCTATAGAATTGATAAGATCAGAGTACAGAAAAAACATATGCATAGTTGATTGACAGTTAGATCGGGTGCTATGACGACCTTGTATTATACACCAGTGAATGACATAGACAAATGCATCATCCATTAACACTCGATCGCCCACAAGTCACTTTAATAGTTTTTTTTCATAATTTTTTGTATCTAATACATCACTCATCATTTGTCAACAAAAAAATTTATGTTTCTCAACACTATGATCAATACAATGGATAATTATTTAGGTCTTTTGTGCAAATGATTAAACATAGGCTTTCTCATCTTACATAGAAATAGATTACGAAATAGTAGTAGATAATGATGGAAAAAAGATCTGATGTAGTTGTTGAAAGTAAATGTAGAACTATTAGACCATTTATATGTAACACCCGTTCTCCTCCCCCCTCTAAGCAATAGTAATCGAAGAAAACTACAAGTTCTTTCTTTTTTCTCTTTCGTAAGAAACTAATCAACAAGATAATCAAAGAAAAACGATCTAGAATTATTGCTACTTCTTTCTTGAACTTTGAACATACAATAAAATAGACAATGTATATATTGATTTAAAACAATATTAACAAGTACTATTTTTGAATAACATTAATTTATAAAAATCTTGTTTTACTTTAGAATGAAAACGTCAGAAATGATAAAAAATAAATACAATAGAAATTCATATTTATATTGTCCTCATTGACATCAAGTCCAAACAAAAAAAGAACATTCTTTCCTTTTCTTCTATACAGTTGATTAGATTTTTTGGATTTCTTTTTAACTTGACAATACTCATGGTTTAAAGCAAAATTTGATGTTGTCATTTATTATGCCTTAAGCTAGTGTTGATCTGAGCAATTAGTTTGTGTAAGCCATGTATATTATATAAGTCAGTTTTTCTTTCTTGTTCTATTATTTATTGTTGACATATTGGATATGATTGATCAGCATTTGTTTATTTATATATCTGTTTTCTAGTCAAGAATTGGCTAGTCGTACAAACAATAGCAATTTAATGCCTATATCAGAACTTTCATATGATACTTATCATTTTCGTCGTTTAAATGATCATGATTCAACAACTATACGTCCAAGAAATGTAGCAAAAGTTGAACCATATTCAATAAATACAAATACAGTTCGTCCATTATATCAATCAACATCACAACCCATCACAATGACAACAACAACAACCACAACAACAACAACACCAACACCCACAACCACAGCTGCACCATTAAAAGCACGTATTAATCTTGATAGTATAGGGAATACACCAACAAATTCATCAACATCCTCATCGGCAGGTTCCCTTGGTGGCATGATTCGTCATCCTAATGTTCATCATTCAGATTTTCTCATGCCTAATCCTGCATATCCAACATATCCTAATCAACCTCTATCTAATTCTTCTTCATATAAAACACCCCAAATATTATTGTCTGAATCAGTTTCGCATGGTTCATTGCATCAATTACCATCTGCTAATATTCCATCATATCATGGACGTACTACCGGCTTAACTTCATCAATAAATAATTTTCAACAAAAATATTCATTACCTACACAGGGAGAATTTCATTCTAGTATGGTAAGAATAATTAACAGATGAATGATATGATCGAATTCGATTATTTCTTTTTCTAAAAGAAAAAAAACGAAAACATAAATTGATTTCTTTTTTTGTTGATTTTCTAGCATACATTTTCACCTACACCAAATCATGATAATTATATTCCAGCAAGTTCATATCATTATCGACCAACATTAACAACTGTAATAAATAATTATCAACAACAACAACAACAACCAGAAATATCAAAACGTTCAGACATTATTGAACAACAACAGCAGCATGATGATTTAATAAATAGTGCACAACAGCAACAATCTCGTCGTCGTTTTCAAAAACGTAAACAAATGAAACGTTCGAAAAGTGTTGATTTATATCAAGAACCATCATCATTTATGTCTCCAACAACGATACATAATGAATTGAATAAATCTTATCGACAACCAAAATCAACAAGTCGAGAATATTTATGTGGAAAAGAAAATTTATCATCATCATCATCTTCATCTTCATCATCATCGACAGCTGATATTGAACGTGTTAATCGAGCTGCTTTACTTCGATATAAATCACTTGATTCAATGACATTAAATAATCGAAAAAAAAATTTAAATGGAAGAAATCATAATAATCGAAGAATTATATCTAAACCAGCTGAATTTGATTTTGATAGTGATGATTCTGTTTGTGGAATACCAAAACCCCGAAAGTAAGATATATTGAAATGATTTTTCTCGCTTTTAAACATATCTAGTTGGCAGCAATTGTTCCATCATCAAATTAGACCGATTGATAGTTTTTATACAATTCCTGCTAATGCTTTTAATGCGTATAAATACTTTCTTATTCTATATTCCTCACTTTTCTTTTTCTTCTCTTCGCAATATGAATGTTGTACTTTTAATTCAGCTAAATACTATTACCTATCACATGCATGATATCTATATCCATATATAGATTCTATAATAACATTCGCCGTTCACTTTCATTCCACACTTGTCTTCTGTAATGCTGCTCAATAGCACGATCGCATTCGCATATTGGTGTGCTCGTTTTTTTTTTGTTTGATTAATGAAATTCAACCGCAATATATGCATATTTCTGCTGTCAACTAGATAGGTGATTGCACATCAATCATGGTATAATAAAAAAAAATCAATTCGTCTTCTCTCTCCGTTATAGGACAATCGGACGGTGAATGAATATCCATGACGACATCATAAAATGTATCTTCACTTTATATGACAGAAACATCCTATTTTTCTTTCGTTGTGTTTTTTTCATATCACATCATGCTGATCAGTATTTGTTTGTTTGTTCTACATTATGATAAAAAACAAAAATAACAGTGTGCATTTACTTTTTGCGTATGTATATATATATATATATATATATATACATATATATTTTTTTTTTTGCTGTTATCATTTTGTAGTCTTTTGAATGTGGATTTTTCAAAGTTATTTTGATTTGATCATAGTTAGACAAAGTCATGAAGTATAAATCTGATCATATATATGAATTGAAATGTTTTTTTGTTTTTATTTTTCTAATCGGTCTAATTTGATGATGTAATAATGACTAACCTTTAATCGATAAAAGTTAAAATTATTTTATGGTTATCATACTGATATATCAATCAATGTCAATCTAATATTTAAAATGTCAATAACAACAATAGAAAAAGACACAAAAAAAAGTAAAAGTCGTCTATATTATGATGAGATCGATCTTGGTTTCTTTTTCCTATTATCTATCAATATAAATACACATCTGCTCATTGAAGAACAACGAAGAACCTTGTATATATATGATCCTATCGTTCTCTACTAATTGCTTTTTTTTTTTTTACATATACATAATGACGTCTACATGAATGAAATAGAAGCAAAACCTTGTGTATTACTTCTATGTAAATGAATAGATTTTTTCTCTTTGTATTAGACAGATAATCGTTCTTGTCATCAGACAAGGTTACTATATATTTCAATTTATTTTTTTGTTCTTTTATGACTTAAAATATTATTGATAAACAAATATATTCTAGATTAATTAATACTAGACAGATACTTAAATGTATTGGAGCTAAATGTAGATAAACTCAGCTTGACATTATCAAGAAATGATGATTAATACCACATTACTTTTCACTTTTGTTCATTCTTCATATCGCCACTATGCATTTAATGTTCACACTTCTGACTGTAAGTGTAAAGTGGAATACAGTAAAAACAAAAAGACCTTAACAAGACACTTTAAGCAATTGTATAATACTGAAAAAGGAAGAATAATACAATTATATCAACAATAGGAAAAAAAGAAGAGAAAAATAGAAAGAAACAGAAAAAAAAGAGAGAAAAAAAACGATTCTTTATACATGTATGTATGTATGTATAAGAATGACGTTTGCGTTTGGCTCCTCCACCTACTATCGCGTCATCTGCAACATGAAGATATTGACGCATTGCATTTATCAAAAAGAACTCTACATAAATAAGTTGCTATTTCTTGTTTCCTCGTCGTCTTTATCTTTCCTAACTTATTCTTATATACAATAAGGTTTATATAATCAAGGAGAAAATAGGACTGTTGGTAGTATACAACGTTCATATAATTCTCTATAATAATAATAATATTACTTTCTTTCTTCTTTTTTTTTGTTTGTTGCACATCTATAGCCTATCGTCAATGGCATCCGAATTCTATAGCGATAATTGTTTTTTTTTCTTTGTTGGCTGACTATATTCAGTTGAATGATAGGCTAAAAAACATATGTTGAAACGTATATATACACATATAGATATATATATATATAAATATATGTTACTATCTAGTCTGATTTAGTTAAATAGATAAAGCCGAGTAAAAATTCTTCTTTTTTAAAATTTACTCTTCATATCAACAAAATTTTACTCTTTACAATTGAACTTTCCATTTATACGTCATGGGAGCGTGGTATGTATATATATATATATATTAATATGACTTTTATTTTAATTTTTTTTTTTATATCTATGAAAATTTTGTTCTTCTTTATTACTCTATTTTCATATATATAAAATGATCAATTTATATTATGATTTTTTAATTTTTTTGTTTAGGCTCTGTACAAGTTCAAAAAATGTAGCTAGATCGGATGGAAAATTGCCTGGTAAATCTTTCTTTCTTTCTTTTTATTTGTTGTGAAATAAAAATAGTAGATCGATAGACACACGACTATACTATCTAGTTGAGACTTGCCTACGCAAATATTTTGCAACAGGAAGGACACTCATCTCTTAATGTTATCTTAACAAGAGATCCATCTACTTATATGTATATATATCTTGAGATAGTTATTCAACTGATATTTATTCTTCCAATGAGAACATAAAATTTGATGCATTCTTGTCGGCATGATATACGATAAACACAAATATGAGTAGTCTAAAAACTCAATTCATTGAAATGTCAGCAAATGCCAATACATGAATTTTTTTTTTGGACGTCAGATTGACGAGGACGCTTTGTTTTAGCATTGTCCTTAAGGCTATATTGATCTGAACACATCTGGATAAAAGTATCAGAAAAAAAAAATGCATTGGGTTAAATCAACATTATCCAAGTTCCTATCCTTCAAATGATCTGGAAAGGTCATTACTAATACAAGGATTTTTTTTTTTCGATAATTCTAAAAAATAAGAAAAATTTTCAATTGAAAACAAGATATAAATGACGAATCTCTTTTCTTCTCCTTATCTCTAGACGACAAAGATACTACATTTATATTTTCCTGTCGCATTTGTCATCGTATCTCTTGAATAAATAACTTTGTTAATCATATTTTTTTTTATCGGTTGACAACACAAATACTATTACGTACGGTCATAAATTTTTTGAGATACTTTTCTTTCGTATATTTGTCAACATTATGTCTCTTATGCTTATACAAAGAAATCAATCATCATGTTTTTCTTTTGGGTCTTATTCATATTGACGCATCGGCATTATGTTGCTTATTTATTCGATAGAAAAGAAGAAAAAAAACAATCTTCTTTTTATACTCAAATAGATTTGCCATCATCTGAAAGAGATCCACGCAATAATACACGAGCAACATCAGTACATGATATTAGTAATGATGGTACATGTACAGGTATTACTAATTCTGTTCGTAAGAATGAAACCATTAATAATCAAACATGTACAATAGTCGATTCAACAATTCCTTCTACAACAAAAATCAAAACAATATCAACAAATGAAAAACAAGAAGGAGAAAATATTATACAACAACAAACAACAGGAATATCTCTTGCTGAATCTCAATTTTATGCACGATCTTCGAATACACCGTGTATAAAACGACAAAATTTTATTGATGAAAAAATTAATGAAATTTATTCATCACCACCTGCTGATGATACATTTCAGGATGCTATCAATGATCTTAATATAAATAAAGATCAAATAATGAATGAAAATGGTAAGATATTGAATTTTTTCATTTAAAAATTCATTAATTAATTCTATTGAATATATATATAAATCAAATTTTGAAATATTACTTTACTTTTTCTATATAGTTATACCAACTGATTCGAATGAAAAAGAAAAAGCCATACAAAATCAAGAATTATTTATCAATGAATCAGTTGATAGTAAGTTATTGGTGTTTTTTCTTTTTTTTTGTTTTAATTAATTTTCCAAAAAATATTTCTAGTAAATTCATCATTACCTATACGAACAGTACGACCATTATCAAATGTAATTATTGTTAATCCATTTGAACGTCTTCGTATAATGAATGTTCGAAATGAACAATATCCAGTAGAAGAAGCATCATTACAAATATTTGATCAACCATCATTTTTTCCAAAACAAATTGATTTACCATTTGAAACTCCATCGACATCAACGAATTTAATTCGTCCACTTCGATCAACTGTTGAACAAATGCTTGATCCACTCAATGATAATAATGATTCATCAACATCAACAACAACAACAACAACAACCAATCGTTCAGTACATTTACCTGTTGAAAAACAACGTGGTCAATCTGAAATAATTCGAAAACGTAATAGTCGATGTAAAGTTGAAGATTATAAACGTTCAATTCAAAAACCTAATACATTCGATGATCAACAACAACAACAACAACAACAATTTAATCGTCCATTACCAACATCAAAAAGTGATTATGAATTAATGACATTATCAAATAATTCAACATCATCACCATTAGATATAAATTCTAAAAATTTTCAAAAATCCTATTCAATTGAATTACCAATTGATTTTCAAAATAATAATGATAAACGAGCTAGAATGTCAATTGAACGATTAAATTTATTATTATCAAAAGATGAACAATTAGAACAAGAAAAAATTTCAAATGAGTATGTAACAATCAAAAAAAAAAAAGAAAACAAAATAAGACATTAATTTTAAAATACATTTAAATTTATTTTTATAAAATTTTAGAATTGATGAAAATACGAGTGTTGCTAATAGAAGAAGTTTATTTGAAACAATATCAAAAGATACACAATTTAGTGGTACTTTACCACGTTCAAAACCATCTCAACCTGAAGAGTAAATTTAAAATTTTAATATTTTGATAAATTGAAAAAAAAAATTCATTTTTCTTTTTAGTGTTTCAATTATATCATCAACAACAAAAAAATATGCTAATGAAAAACATCGTTCACAAACAGAAAATATTCTTCTTTTACAACAAAATGATGAAAGTTTATCAGATAAAAAAACTGAAAATGAACCATTCGATGATGATATTTCAAAATTATCATTTAAAGAAAAAATGATTTTATTTAATAAAAAGAAATCTAATGAATTAATACCAACATCATCATTAAAAAATAATCGAATTCGTCTTACACAGGTATTTTATTTATAAATTCACTGAAAAATCAATCGTCATTGTTGCAATAAAATATTTTATATGAGTTCATATTTTCGATAATTTTAAAAACAGAAACATTTTTCTTGGAAAATGAATAGAACAATCTCGTTGATGTCTAATGAGAAAATCTCTCGAAGTACTAAAAAAACTCATCGATTGAAAATATTGAAAGTTCGATAGGGCATAATTAACGAGAAAACTACCCAAAGGAATATTTGCCATTTCAGCACATATTGACTCCAGATGGAGGCTTCGATAAGATTATCAAAAGCCTGAAAGGCTTCATCTCCATGGGTCTTTATCACTGAGTTACAAGCAATTTTCGACTCATTTGTGAGTAGTTCTGGAACAATCAAATCACGGGATTTTGATCTAAAATTTTGCCTATAGATAGACTTAATGTCTTTTATAATATCCTGAAAGATTCAGTTGAAAAACATGTTTTTTCGTTAAGATATTGAATTCCCACTAAATATCTGTTTGTCACAAAAAACGGCGATTACTTGAAAATTCAATATCTGGACGAAGGAACATTTTTTTCGTCTGAAAATTTCAGCTGTAAACGATAAGTATATAGAGACAAAAAATACGTTCAAAATTTTCTTCTTAATTTCGTAACTTTTCATGTTTTACTAGCAACAGTATAATAATTCAAATTTCAATTCACTTTTTTCAATCGGATTTAAGTATCAGCTATCCAATTGTTGAGTTATTCTAGACATGTATTTAAAGATTCCGTAGTACAATTAATTGTTGAAGTACGCTCTGAATCAGAATGCATGTGTGTGTAAAGATCTCCTAGTCTTACCTTACCAATGAATATTTCTATACTCGAAACATTATTTGTCTATTTCATTGTCCGATATATTTTTCTTCAGAATAGTTTCTTTCTCTTGATTATATGAACTTAAATACATTGAATAATTGTTCACCAAACTCTTGTTTTATGAGATAGAGTAAAAGATAATAGAATTGAAAATTTCTTAGATACTTGTTACTAGAATAATTATATCATTCTGTTCACTTCATTGATTGTTTATTCTTTAGGCTATAATAAAACAGATGGTTTTTCTTATCAATATTTTCGAATTATATTTATTTATTGTTTTTTTCATACATTCTCAACATTGCTACGAGCATGTTACAACAACTAGAATAGCTGATAAATAAAAATCAGTTCCTTCTATGTTTTCTCATCTTATTTTATTTTTTTTTTGTTTGATATTCACGTAAACATGTACATCTTGTTACAAACGATTTTTTCTAGATCGATAAAAACAAGAGATAGTTTAGTTTTACTCGAAGAATTGTATAAAAACTTTACTCATATGAATCTTTTTTTATTATACAAGAAAATTTTGAAAATTAGCTTTCTAGTCAAATTCCCATAAGTATTATTTATATAAAATTTTTCAGTAGTTTTATCAAAAATTTATTTCAATATTAATAATAAATTTAAAAAGTCGATCGAAATTTTATTTCTTTTTAGCCAATTACTGCTGAAGAAGTTCAAGCTGCTGTTAATTTGACACCATCATCAAGTACACAACAATTAGAATCTACAGTTCCTGGTATGTATTTATCAAGATATGCATGAATAACTTTTTTGTATTTTCTATATATATATATATACAGTGACTGATGAATATCATATGCATGATACTTCCCTATCCTTATCAGATGCATCAATTTCACACGGATATGAACAGCATGTTAGATATAAATATCCATTTGGTATACATTTATTTTTGTTTTAATAATCATTAAATAAATATTTATAATCATTCAGATGATGCAATTATGTCAAATCCAGAAGAATCAAATAATATAATATCGGTGAGCAAAAGGTATGTCAAAATGAATCTTTTGAATAAAAAAAATTTTTAAATATATTTTGTTTTTGTTTTTTTTTAATAGATTTGAACAATTAAAAGTATTCGATGAAATAGAATCAAACAAACGTAATAAATTACCATTAGAAAATTTATCAGAAAAACTTTTAACATTAAAAGATGAACAAAAACCAAATTTAACTAGTACACGTAAAACTCCAACATTAAAATATAATGCAAAAAAATCCAATGCAGGTCAACAACAACATGCTAAAACAGTCGATATTGTTCGTCTTAAAACTGGTAAACAAAAAAATTATTATACACTTACTTTCATATTACATCATCATTTCTTTCGATAATCTATTTACTATATTTTCACACTTATCTAACTATATTTGTCGTTCATATATATATATTGAAATTAACTCATTGACCGATTGCTGACATAGTGTCAGTTAAGAACAGTTACTTATATAGTAATGCCGCTAGCTATTTCTTGTTTTACTTTAGTTAAACATGAATGTAGAATGTTGTGTCTTACATAATGATGGTATAAAGAAAAAAAAGTTATTCTTTCTCTCTCGTTCTTTCTCTCTGCTTTTTTTCCCCTCTATCGAAGTTGTTTGATTACTTAGTCCTCTTTATCGACAATAACATATAATCTATTTTTACGAAAAGAGATGACATAAAGTATCTTGTTATTTGTTGACAAAGTCAGAGACGGAGGTGGATTAGACTTTTTTTTGTTTTGTTTTTGAAGATATGACAAAATACATGTATTATCATCATTATCATAAAGACTACTAAGCAAGAAAAAAAAAAAAAGACAGAAAGAATAGTTTAAGCCTCTTATGGGACAATGTATGGAAAAAAATGTTCATGTTGAACAGATAAGTAATTCAATAGAAAATTTTCATTCATATTAAAAAACATGTAATTATCTCTTTTTGTTTTGCTTTAGATTCAATCGTTAAAACCAAAGATACTAAACAAACAGTGTTACCAACTAATAAAACCAATGGTACAAGTAAGCAATATATTTCAATGAATTCGTTTTTTATTATGTTCCTAAATTTATTTAGCATTACCAAAATCTAATAATAAGATAGTTTCTGTATTAAAATCTGATATAATATCTGTATTAAAACCAGATGATCATCTTGATGATTTTTTTGGTGATACAACTAAAAATTTACATAATGAAACATCTATTCAATTGAATACTGATGATCTTAATCGAATAGCTGAAAGTACTGTTAGGTAAAAAAAAAAATTTTCGATAAAAAAAATATAATTATTTCTTTTTTTTTTTTTGTAATTTAATCAGATTACAATCACAAGTAACTCGTGCTCGACCTCCACGTCGTCAAAAACAGGGAGCAAAAAATCCTCTTCGACAAATTCAAGCTGAAAATCAATATACAGAAATACATACTAATCTTTCAGAACAAGAACTACGTCGATTAAAACGAGCACAAAGTATGAAGGAAAAAAAAAACAGCTTTTTTTTTTCTCTTTTAGAATAGAATTCAATCATTATCTCATGCAAACTTGCGTGAGAAAGTTTCTTTTCCTATTGCTTTAATCGTTATATTATTATTCAGAAAATTGTTACATATATATTCTACATTCTAAGAATATATTTCTATCGGATCTCTTCAAAATAGGTTAATTGAGTATTCATTCGAACAGTGAAAACTGAAACCAAATGTATACAATTTTTTGTTCAAGATTTATTTGTGTAACAGCCATTTTAATGGAGTAGTCTTTTTCGATATTGATTGTGATGTACACAAAGATGCAAATAAAAGATTTATTGAAGACAAGAAAAGATTAGCATGATTTTAAATATTTAGTTTATCTAGACTGAAAACTGTAAGTGTTAAAGCCTCACATTCATAAAAATCGATCTTAGTTCAAGTGCATTCAAATCGTATGAAAAGTTTTAGGATATGTTATGAGTTGTAGCGAAAAAGCTATGGTAAATTTGAAAAAGTTCAATGTGTCGAAAAACTCTGAAAATAATAATTATCATTTTATAGAAGTACTTTTTTTATATAATAATAAGAATGGACACTACAGATTCACATACTCTTTCAAACAAACCAAGCAAATGACTACAATGAAGCACTTTCGAATAATTTGGAAAGGCATAAACACAGGAAAAAAAAATGAAAAAGATCTTCTACTTTTTCTGGAAAAAAAACAACATATTTTTCTAGTAGAAATTAATCGAGGTTATCTTCCCATGCATTTATCAATGATCAGTAGTATATCGAAAAAGATTACTATCAAAAAAAAAAAGGAAACTTTTGTAATTATTAATCTATTATAATTGATTGATAAAGAATCGATTATCATAAATCATCATAATTTTCTTTTTTTAGTTGCTGAAAATGCTGGTGTTGCTCAAGAAGCTTTAGCAGCTTTAGCTACAACAGAAAATTTTGCTGAAATAAATTTACGTAAAATAGATCAATCACCAGTAGCAAAATTTGGTTTTGAACCATATAAAGAATTAATGCTTATTTTAATAAAAGGACGTCGTCAATGTTCATTACATCTTGTTAATCCAATATATGAATCAATTAATGAAGGTGATTGTTATTTATTAATAACACCATTAAAAGTTTTTGCATGGCTTGGTCGTTATGCAAATACATTAGAAAAAACTAAAACAACAGATTTAATTGATTATTTAAAACAAAATCGTGATTTTGGTTTACGTAATGAAGTAAAATATTTTATTTTGGATCAAGCTAAAGATGATACAGAAAATGATAGTCATGCAGAATTTCGTGATATTTTACAAGGTGAAATTGATGATTATAAATCAATTGATTATGTAATTGATGATGATTTTTATGAAACAAATATAAATGAATTAAATCGTATTTATCGTGTTGAAAATGATTTACTTATGCCATTAGATGATTTATGTTTTCATTCATTATCAATTAAAATTCTTGATTCAAATGAAGTATTTGTTTTTGATTTTGGTTCAGAATTATATATTTGGAATGGTAAATATGCAGATAAAATAAAACGTAATATGGGTTTACAATTAGCACAACAATTATGGAATGATATATATGATTATAGTGAATGTATTATTAATCCATTTGATCCACTTGATGGTAAATAATTAAGAAAGAATATATTGAAAAATAATACTAAAACAAAAATCATCAGAGAAATTAGAATATAAATACTTTTGTGATAAAAAGAAAAATTTTTAGTAATATTTTTTAACGTATGGTTATGACAAGCAACTTCTACATTGTATATTACGATGAAATGAACTCATTGATTATAATGTATAGAACTAAAAAAATGGATAGTGCAAAGATTCGACATTAATTTTGTTTTCAGTATAGCATAACAACGACTCATGGTGGAGACTTGATAGATTTCTTTTTTTTTTTGATTAGAAAAAGCAAAGTGTTTACTAGAAAGTTGTATAAAAATATCAGGTTTAAATTACTTACTGAAAAGTTTAAAAAAGATATGTGATTGGAAAAGTTCAGTGCGTATGCTTCTTGGATTTAGAAGAAAATCTCGGAAAGTTAGTTTTAATTTCGGTATCTTATTAGATTCAGCAGGGCTGCAATAGAACATTGTATACAAGTAAAAATAAAATTTACAAGTTATCTATTGAGTTCGAAATCGACATTTTTCTAATGATCTTTGCCAGCGAAAAGTGCTCACAAATAATAAATGATTTCTAAAAAAAATAAGATTTTTTTTTGTCCAGCAATCAAAGTCAAAGATTATGAGAAAAACTTCATTGGATGTTGTAGATGGAAAATCAAGTTTTTTTCTTTCTATAGAACCTGTAATTTTTCTACTTCGAATATTTTTTATACCACGAAAAAAAAGTCCCAACGTTTACTCTCAAGTATGGATATCGGTCTTCTCTTCATTTCCATTCACACTCACATCCTAACGTTCGATAGAATAGCACAAATTAGCATGACGGAATATGTTACAAATGTTTGTCAGTCAATCAGTTTATTGAATTTGGATCTAAAAATTAATATTTATTTTTTTGTATTTAGATAAGAATGAACAAACTAGTCAAATAGATACTAAACGACCAGCATGGTGTATATTTGGAAAACAAAATCAAAATGTTGAAACATTATTATTTAAAGGAAAATTTTATGATTGGCCAAGTAATTTTCAAGAAATAAAATCAGTTCTTGATGTAGGAACCAATCTCAATAAACCATCATCAACACAACGAGTATGTATTTATGTCTATTAGATCTTCATGTATATTACTAAAATATAATTTTAAACAAAAATTTTGATATATAAAAATCTCTGAAATAAATTTTAGCCACCATCAATTGTTGAAACACTTAAACCAGCTGATGTATATAAAATGCTTGTTAAACAAAATAATCCAGTCAATATGATTCTTGAACAAATTAATACAGGTCGAGGAAGATATTGGTTTGTATTAATTTATATCTATTATACTTTTTTTTTTTTGTTTTTTTGAAAATTCTATTTTTTTAAAGGTATGATTCAATTGAAATGCGTGGTCATCATGTTCAAACAATTGGATTAAATGTTTGGCATCTTAGTGAAAATGAACGACATGAATTATCCAAAACAAGTTATGGACAATTTTATTCTGATGATGTTTATATTGTTCGATGGAAATATAAATTAATTCCAATAGGTAATGATAATACATTGGAACGAAAGACAGATATTAGTCGTGATCGTATTGCTTATTGGATATGGCAAGGTATTAATGCTAGTCCAAATGAAAAAGGTCTTTCAGCATTGATGGCAATACTTTTGAATGAAGAAAAAGGACCTCATGTAAATTATTTATTTTTTGTTTAAATAATTTTGTTTTTGTTTGTTTGTTTTATTTAGATTCATGTTATTCAAGAACATGAAGAAGCAGCATTTTTACAATTATTTGATGGTACATTTACTATTCATATGGGTAAACGTAATCAATTGAAACCAAAAAAAACACCTTGGCGTTTATATGTCTTTCTTGGTGAAATTGATGTTGAAACACATTGGTGGGAATTAAATGTTAATAGTGCTAATTTACGTAGTAGAACATCATTTTTATTAATTAATAATATTGAAAATTTAATGTTACTTTGGCATGGTTATGGAACAACTGATGAACAACAAATTTTAGCTAGTAAATCAGCTATGAAATTACGTGAAAGGTTAGTTTAAATTGAATATGTTTAGAAGATTATTATTATTATTATTATTATTTTGTTTATGTATAATTATGAATATATTTAGATGTTCAGAAGAATTTCATTTTGATGGTCAAACGGAAGATATTGAATTCTTTGAAATGGAAGAAGGTGATGAAATTGAATTATTTTGGGATGGAATTAATGAACGAAATCATGAACGAAGATATTATTCATTATTAAATAGTAAGATTGATTGGATATAATTATGAGTTGAGATATGTATAAATTTTGATATATATATATATATATATATTCAAGATGTCAAGGGCGATACATAGTCATGTATTGATTTACCATAGTCGTCATATGATTAACATAAAAAGAATGAACTAATCAAGTTATAACTTTAGGAAATAATCAATATCAGTATTTGTGAGCTTATCAAGATATATAATAGTGTCTTGAGATCTGTATTAGATATAATGGATATGTACAACATGCTTATTTATCACTTAAATCGATGATTAGAATAATAGTAATGTTAAATTTAGAAAAAAAAAAAACGGAATACGAAAATGAAAAACAACAAGCGAATAGCAACAAGGCAAACAAAAATGGAGTGTCAGTAAAAAAAAAGAGCTATTAGTACAATAACTACGCGAACACAATGTACCTGCTGTTACTAATCATAGGAAGATTATTTTATTCGATTTATTTTGAGAGATATTTCTTCAACATCCTTTAACTTAATCCTCCAGAAATGCAATAAGTAAGTAGTTCATATATTATAACAAGATGTTATTGATATACGATCTGTGACGTTTCTATGAGAGTTCAAATTTCTACTTCTATATTTCAATACTCCTTCTAGATCGTATTTCACAAAAGAAAAACAAAAAGTTTCTACTCGAATTGCAAAAATATAAATAAGATAGATCAATTATCCTTGAAAAAACAGCTGTAGTCTGTTAGAAATGTTTTCACTCAACATATTTGGTATTAGTATAATGAGGTTAAATAAGACATGTGTGTACCATATTTTAGCCCTAATGAGTTTTTTTTTATTCCTACTAACATATACAAAACTTTAGAACGAAGAAATTATCAATCAGTCAAAATAATTCTAATAAATAAGACTGATATTAATTTCATCGAATGAAATCATTTAAAGAAGAAAATTTATTTTATACATAATTTCAAAATTATAAAACTAAGGAATGTCTTATGAGCATAAACTGTAAGTTTAATTTGAACATAATGATTCAGCTTTAATAGATTTTGTTTAAAAGTTTTATTGAATTAGAATTGTTAGCTAAATCATTTTTCGCAGTATTTATTTGATTATCAGTTGAGAGGATCTCAAAAAATAATAGATTATTTGTGAGATGAATTTAATCTCATTAGATATGTTCTATTGAGACTTGAGAAAGGCTAAAAGAAGTTGTGTCTATGTAGATCTTTCTTCTTGAACAATGATAATTTTAGTGAATTTTTCAATAAAAGATCGTATTATGTTTATATCTAAGAACAGGAATTGATAGAAAATCTGACATCTTAACAATGAATTAGCTGTATTAAGAACTATATTTGTATCAACTTTGAATTTGAAATTAAACTTTCAAGATGATCTAAGGTTAACTATGGTATTTTATTGAAAGTTCACTAAATAGTCATAAATCAAGAAGACAAATTCTTTTTTGTTCTTCTCTAGTTTCAATCGAAACTATCTTTATGCATTAAGATTCATCTGAAATATAATTTATCCCTTAATAAACATTTATCATCGTTTCTGTTTTTGTTCTTCTAGTTCGCTCAAATCTAAAACTTTCATCAACAATGCGTATCTTTCATTTATCAAGTCTTCATGGTCCATTTGTTGCTCAAGAACTTCTTTATCCTCTTCGTTCTCCTGATCATATATCATCATTTCCATTTACACAATCTGATTTATATGAACTTCATCAACCAGCTTTATGTTTAATTGATACTGATACTGAATTATATATATGGCAAGGATGGCATGATCAATCTGATGATGAACTTGGTTTACAACTTGCTAATGCAAATTTATTAGCACGTGGTCCAAGAGATATACGTTTTACAACTGAACGTCGTTGTGCATTTCGTACAGCTATTGATTATTATAAAAGTAAAAATATCAAAAATAAAAGAAATTCTTTTGAAACAAGAAAAAAAAAAAAATCTTTTTTTGATTGTTTAGCAAAAACTGGTTCATCAACTATTGATATACCAATGTCAATTGTCTATGCTGGTTTAGAACCAATTGATTTTGTTAATTTATTTCCTAAATGGAGTGTGAATATTAAAGCTCGACAACAAAATCAATTGGTTAGTAATTAAACTAGGATTTTTATTTTGTTTTTTTTTTGTGTTACATTTGATTTTATGATCGATATAATTTTTTAGGAAGGTAAAAGTGTAAATCAGAAAGATTCAATCATTGATGTACTCAATGAATTATGTCGTGAGCAATATAGTATTGAAGAACTTCGAGCTCGTCCATTACCAGAAGGTATTCATTTTGAATTTCTTTTTTTTTTTTATATTTGAAATGAAATTTTTTATTATTATTTTAGGTGTTGATCCATCAAAAATTGAATCTTATCTTTCCAATGCAGATTTTCAAGTACGATTTTATTTGTTAATTTTTTTTTGTTTTTAAATATATTTTTTCTTTATCATTATAGAAAGAATTTCGTATGACTAAAGATGAATTCTATGCTTTACCCTATTGGAAACAAACCAATATTAAAAAACCACTTGGATTTTTCTAATTCATTTTTTCATCGTATATAATGTGCCATAAATATATATATATATATATATTTCATTGATTTTCTTCTTCAAAATAACAACAACAACAATGAAGAAGTATGAAACTGTTCTGCTTTTTCTTTTCTTGTCTACTCACGAACGATATGTGTGTATTGTTTGTTATATAAATATAAAAACGGTTTTTTCTTTTGAATCGATTGTTAAATATCTTAGACATACTTCCCCACCTCGTTTTTTTTTTTTGTTTTGTTTTGTTTTACATCTATTTTTTCACAATGCATGAATATCAGCTTCTTTACAGCAAATAATAAGAGTTAAGCTTTTCTTTCTATTTTTACGTATGTGAAAAGTAAGAAGAGATAATAAAAAGAAAAAATAAATTGTCAATGACAGATGTTTTGAATTTAATTGATTTTGATAAATGATATGACTTGAATAAATGAAAATTTTTGTAATATTCAAAGAAAAAGGATTGATCTAAAATATTTGAATCAATAAATAAATTTATTTTTCAATTCAAAAACAATTGAAAAATCAAAAGTCTTATTTCGAAGACATCATGACATGCAACTACGATGTATACGGTAGATCAAAAGTGAGTTTATCGTACAAAGCAAAAAAAAGAAATATCTCCGACATAGTTTGACGAAAAGGGCTGACTTTATTTTTTTTTTACTGATGACAAAAGACTTCCTAGTTTATGTCCACGGGGAGAATGTTGAAAAGAATCGTTTTGAAGTATTGCTATGAGCTTCAACAAAAAAAATTTCTCCTCTCATAGACAATAAAAAAAAACTTAATATGGGTACTGATGCGAGTGAATGCCGTGTCTTTATTCACACTCAGACCTCCCTTGCCCATACCTCTCACACCCACACCCACACCCTTCATGGCGTTGCTTTTTCACAATATGTGAGAAGAATAGAATTTTTTGCCGGAACCAATAATGATACTTCAAAAATGGTTCTTTCCAATCTTTTCCACATTGATATGAACATCCATTTATCATCAGTACAAAAAAATCAGCCAATTCGATCAAGCTATGGGAGAGATATTCAATTATTTTTTTGTACGACAAAGCTACTTTTAGCCTATCCTATATATTCGAAATAATCAATATCAAAAGTATTCCATTATATTTTGACGTTATTCTTTATTAACCATTCATATATTTACTTGTTGTTAATCTTTTTTCTTTCTATTTGACATAAAAAACCATGGAGTCTTAAATCAAAATATTAAATTTCAAATTATTACCTAGATGAAATGCGTATTTTATAATATCGAATTTTTCATATATAGAACAATAAAAATTGAGTGCACTTATAAACCTATGAAATTTTGATAAGATTTATAAAAGCTTTTTTGTTTTTCAAAATAACTGGAAATATGATCAGGCAAAATGAAAAAAATAGAAGAAAATTAATATTGAAATTTGATCTTTAAAATAACATTTATTTTTCAAAATCAAACGGTTAGTAAATGCATTAAGTCTCTAAGAAAAATAAGCTTTACTTTGTCAAATCACCTGTGTAATGTAATTCGAAACTAAATATAATAGATTTCTCAATGCCATTCAATTGAAATAAATAGTGAAGCAATTCACTATTTCAATACATTGTGCACATATCTATTCCCTGTTGAAAGTAAATATCAACATTACTACAATGATGCAAATCGTTTCTAATGTCCTTTTCCTAACCATTGTACTTGGTACGTATGTTTCAGCTGTTCGAATTGGTTCATTTAATTTACATCAATATGGAAGTAAAAAAGCTGCTAATGCAACATTAACAAATGTTGTTGCTAAAATTATTAATGATTTTGATTTGGCAATTATTCAAGAAATTACTGATGCATCACTAAGAGCTCCTCATGTTTTACATGATGCATTAAATCAAGTTTCAGGTAAAAATCCATATACATTAATATTAAGTGGACGTGCTGGTCGTTCAAACACAAAAGAACAATATATTTTTTTCAATCGTGAAGCCACATCAGGTGTTGAACTTGTTAATGCTTATCTTTATGAAGATGTTCCAGATAATTTTGAACGACCACCGTAAGAATTTAATTTAAAATTTATTTTATTGTTTTTTTCTTATTAAAATTTATATTATTTAGTTTCATTGGTACATTTAAAGTTAAGAAACCAGGAAAATCTGGTGTTAAATTCTTTACTATTATGAATGTTCATTTACGACCAGATGCTGCATACGCAGAATTACTTAGTATGCGTGTTGCTATTGAAGATTTTATTACTAAACATCCACAATATTTTGATGAAACATCAACATCATTCAATGATGCTTTAGAACAAAATGTTGTTGATGCAACAGTTGATAATAAACCAAGTTTGAAAACTAATCATCCTATTTTAATTGTTGGTGATTTTAATGCTGATTGTTCATATATTTCACTTAGACGTCAATTAATGCTTCGGTTAGTTTTAATTTATTTTAAAAATAAAATAAATTTAATCTTTATATCTTTTATTTATTTAGAACAATCAGTTATGTTGATTTTACATGGGTGATTAATAATCAAGTTAAAACAAACACTCGACAAACATGCACATATGATCGTGTTTTTATTAATGGTGATAAATTTGTTAACGCTATTGTACCAAACAGTAATACAACTGTTCACTTCCAAGAACAATTAGGTATGACATTGGATGAAGCTTTGGATATCAGTGATCATATACCGATTAAATTCGATATTGAATGGTAAAAAAATAGCAGAAAAAATTTTTTTTTGTATGTACTTTCGATGAAAATTTTAATAAAATAATTGTTCTCGATTGCTCATATCAAAGATGATAGTAATGATTTAGTTGAAGTATATCAATATAATTTAAGATAATATTATTAATAAGATAGAAAACAAACTAGGTTAAAAATCATAAAATGGTCTACTACAGATCAAATCAAACTGATTGATGTTTCTAATTTTTCGAATACATTTAATTCTACAACTATGTATTAATGTATCATTCTAATTCTAATAGTAAATTAAAACAAAAAAAAAGAAAATCATTATAAATATTTTTCATACAAGAAAGGCTTCAATTAATATAATGTTTTTGATTATATCAATGCCATTTTCGCATAATAGAAAAAATCTAATTATGATAGCAAAAACAACATATGATCAAGCATATGACGAAGAAGTAAAAAAGAAAAGTGTCGGGCATAAGTGATAATTATAATAACAGACAAGAACATTTACAATTGACAATCAATTTTGATGATATTACAAATATACAATTTACTATTCAATTGTTTTAAGTCTAAACAAGTTCTTCTGTTAGTAAAACGAAGCCCTAAAATACTGAATTAATGTACAATTTAAGCATTTGTTACTGGAATCGAATGAACTTGTCGAAGTACTCTCGAGTAATAAGATAATCCTAGTTTTAGACTTAGCATAGCACGAGAATACATAGTTTTCAAGCTTTTCATGCTCTTACTCAAAAAAGACTTCTGAATGTAGAGATGAGTCTTTTACTCATCGGGAATGATGGTATGCCCTAGCAGTAGCTTTCTCTGCCGGAGTGTAGAATCAAACTGTAAGCATAAGTAAAATTTTTAAAGAATGCACAAAACGTTTTAGTCTCATGGAAATTTTACAACTGCACGAGTTATTATTAATCTAAAAACAAAAGTCTGAAGTTAAACTTTTAGAAAACTTCGTTATTTTTATCGGAATACCTTCATTTTTTGAGTATGAACGTCATCGACTGTGACGGAAAATGTTGTTAAATATTTTCATGGATACTTTTCTGATAAAACTGCAGAAAAAAGCACGCCTTTGGACAAGTCGGCTAAAAGAATGTTTGTTTCGCAACAAAGTCTGATGATGTACGTTATAGGCTACAGAAAAAATTAGTCGTACTTTTATGCAAAGATCTTTGAACTTTTCAATCTTAACAACTTCGAGATATTTCTGTTTTTTAGTTGATTTCTAACTTAAGAACAAAGAGAAGCAACTTTGTTATGTTGTTCTTTACTTATATTTATTTCTTTTCTGTTGATAATGTGCTTTTAGTGAATTAAAAACGAAACTTACTGAATGTTTAATCATTGAACTTCGACGGAAAAGAAGAAAAAAAAGATCTTGAGCCTTATCTAGTTAATATTCTATTCTGAGAGGATGTTACCTTCATTTTGAATTCTGGTGCTAATTTTATTATCTAAAAAGTTGTTGATTTTGTCTTGCAGTTTTCTACAGATAGAAAACAAGAAAGATGCGAATGAGTAGATGCTTATGAATACCGCCACTAAAAGTAAAACAGAGAATTTTTCTCTCTATATGTTCACGATTTTAATATGTTTCTCAATGTTTTTATTTAGGAGAATAAATACTACAAGCAAATGTCTGGCGAACGGATGCAGAAAAAAATCTGAACAAAACGATGCATGTTTTTATTTGAAAAGTTGAAACGTATAGACCCCTTTGAATCAATTGAAAACAGTAACTTAAACTAGACCGACACGAGCTATTTTCGACGCTTCCATATTTTCTATTTCGAAAGTTTCCTTCCAAATATTTACTCTAAAAATTTGAAGGTAACATCGAAATTTGAGGATGTGGGTATGGATCTTCTTTTCATCCACACCGATGCCCTCAAGTTCTATTGATTGATCATCATTTACATATCACATAAGATAAAAACATCACATACAATCGATTTGATAATTTAACATAAACATTTCTCGAACAAAAATTAGTTTTGATTTAAATATTTTGCTTAATCCTATATTAAATACTATTACATATTAGGACGGATATCTGATTGACTTTATTATTTGACTTTTGAATAAATGGATTCATACTTCAAACATATTTATTTAAATTTTATGTCAATCAACAAATGTATTATAATACATGTATTGATGTGATTCTCTTGAGTTTATATGATTTTTGAATATTTAATTATTCTATTTCTTATGATTATGATTCTTGATCGATACAAGTAAAATGATTTTTTCATGAGATAATTATTGAATTTTTTCTTTTTTCGTGTTTTAATCAATTACATTTGCATAATTCAGTTTAAGTTGAAATAGAAGAAAGAACACATAAGAGTTTGATTATAAGAAAGAATCAACAAACAAATATAATTGAATGAATAGAGAAAGAAAAACATACGAGTATTATATCAATACAATTAATATGAAAGAAGAGCTACTATTAATAATATGATATGAAAATAAATCCTGATTATTTTTCTTTTTTATGTAGCTTTGGGTTTCTTGCCACCACGATTATTTGTCTTGTTCGTTGATGTTGGAGCTTTATCAGCTGTACGACCTTTTCTCTGTTGTTTAGCTGTTGAAGCTTCTATAAAAAAAAAAAAAAAACTCGATTTAACAAAAAACAAAAAAATGAATCATATATTCAACTAACCATCTTCAGTATTATTTTCAACTTCTTCATTTTTCTCATCATTTGTATGATCTTCAAACGGTTCATCATTTTGTCCTTTCTTTTTAGCACTAGGTTTTTTGCCCGATGCTGGTGCTGATCGTTTTTCTGCTCCTTTTTTTGTTGTTGCACCTTTAGATTTATCATCCAAAGTTTCTTCATCTTCTGATAATTTAAGTTCATCATTCATAGGTATTTCTTCATTTTCAGATGTTGTTTGTTTTTTTGATGAACCAGGAGCTTTTCCCTTTTTGCCAGCTGCTGTTTTCTTTTTTGTATCACTTTCATCGTTTTGTTCTAAATATTAAAAGATTTTTTTTTTTTTGTTTTTGTCTTTTGAAAAATAAAATTTTTCTTATTTACCATTTTCAACTTCTTGAGTAGTTGTTTTATTTTTTTGAGCTTGTTTACGAGTAGATTTACCTTTTGTTTTTTTACTTGGTGAATCAATTTCATTTTCAGCTTCTTCATCTTCACCGGTACCTTAGAAAAAAAAAACAAAATATATTATCATATATTCATAATAATTTTTCAATTTAATTACCAGCATCTTTTTGTTCATCTTCTTCAGATTTTTTATTTTTTTGTGCAGCAGCAGCAGCAGCTTTGCCTTTACCTGTAGATTTAGTTGAAGTACTTGTTTTTTCATTTTCTTGATCTTCTTCATTTTGTTCATCATGTTTTGCCATATTTTTAGTTGGTTGTCGTTTACCACCACGACCTGCAGTAGTTTTAGTTGTTTGTTTTACTTCAGTTGTTGATGAACTATGATTTTTCTTTGGTGATTGTTCATCATCATGATCTTCTTCATTTGAATCTTCACCAATTTCAGATTTTTTATTTGTACGTTCAATAAACTAAAATTTAAAATGATTTCAAAATAAAAATAAAAATGAAAATTACATAGATATACTTACACCAGATGCTTCTTGTTGAAGTTTTTCAGCTTCACCTTTCTTTCGTGATTGACCAGCTTTAGTATTCTAATTAATCGAAGTTACACTTTTTTTTTTTTTTGTTTTTCAAAAATTCAAATTAGAAATAACTTACGGTAGATTTTTTTGATTCACTTGTAGCTTTCTTTGGACTTGATTGTTCCGTATCTGTCGGTTGTTGATTTTCTTCATCTTGTTTTTTCTAAATAAATCAAAATTTTAATTATATTAATTTAGTAATAACAAACTAACTTGTTGTTTCTGATCAGTATCAATTTCAGTTGTTGCTTTGGTGGTAGTTCCTTTTTTTGGTGGCATTATTATTAGATTAGTTGCTAATCGATCGTTTAAACTTCGAAGTAAAAAGAACGAATATAACCGATGATTATATAGAGAATGTATAAATTCAACAGAAAAAAGAGAAAAATAACGACTAGTAACTAGCTTTATTATAGTCAGTCGGACGACCCTTGTTTTAATAACAATGAACAATGATTTAAAATCGATCTCCTCCGAATAATTAAATATTTTACAAGAATATTTAGAAAAGAAAATTGAATAGATTAAATTTCAAAACTATTTTCCTATAATGAAAATTTTAAAAAAACCGCCAAGTTTTTTTTCAATAATCTTTTTCTTCCTTCTGAATATTTAATGCAGTTGTGCACTTTACTGGAGTGAAATCAATGAGGAGAGAGTAACCAAGGTGACAACAGGAGAATACATGCATAATGTTCAATAATGAATTGACTTTCTCGTAAGAAAGAAATTTTATAGGTATATATGGCAGCATCGAATGGTATTCAACCACCATCGAATACCTTTATAGAACCACAGTACGGATATATGATAACAGAAAAAGAATCTGTTTCTAATGGTCATTTTTTTATTTTCTTTATGTTTCAATTCAAGGTATACAAGTGACCAACAACTTATACTATTAAATAATGAAGAGCTTCGAACAAGAAATCGTGAACAATTAATTGAAAAACTTGAACGAGTTATTCAAGAAAAAAATGCTTCCATTACCAAACTTGAAGAACGGTAAAAAATTAAATCAATGAATAGTTCAATCCATATATTATTTATTCGATTTCCTTATATTTATCTAGTGAACAATACT